AGATATAGATTTGACACAAATAAAAGTAATATTCTATAATATTTTTTAATTACAAATTTCATATTTTACTCATTTGGCTATGTATTTCATATTTTTTTGAACAAAATGAGGTTTCAACAAATCATACCAATACTCTAAATAATCAATTTTAATTTGTTAATTTTAAGAAAAAATTAGCAAACAAATAACTAAAAAAAATATTATTTTTTCAGGGTGGCCCCAGACCCCTCCTCCTTTACCACTGCTAGAGAGAGAAAGTGAAGAGTGAGAAGAGGAGGGTAAAATTCAATATAAATGATTTTGAGAGAGATTTTGGTGGCTATTGGATGAATGAATTTTAGACCGTAGGATTGTTGAAGCCGCCCTATTTTATATTATGGATATTATAGATAAATCCACGAAATATTCTAAAATTAACTCAAAACAAATGTTAATTTATATACATGTAATCAAAATCGAGTTAAATTTAATTTATCAAAAAACATATCGCCAAAATATTTTCTATCAAATTTTTTTTACAAATATCATTTATAAAATATTATTTTTTTAATTAGTACAAGTTATTACAAAATTATTAATTTAAAAGAATATATTAGTGTTGGGTTTCCTTAAGATATAAAAAAAATTAGTCTTCAATTTTTGATTCAAAATATGTATAAAACATGTTAGTTTGAGATAATTAATTAAATAAATAAAATTAAAATTAATTGTATTCAATATAAATGTGTTAAGCAATACCCTTGTTTTTGTTTTATCTTAAATTAATGAGTATTTTTTAATCAAAATGTTATCATTGTATCTTATACAATTCAAAATATTACAACACACAGAAGATATTCTAAGATCAGTCGTAATCATTGACTTTTTTGGGAAAAGAATATTAAGAAAAAAAATTATAATTTATTGACCGTTGGATGAATGAATTTGAGACCGTAAAATGTGTTCCAAGATCAGCTGTAATCATTGACTTTTTAGGGAGGAGAAAATATTAAAGAAAACAATTGTAATTTCTTGATAATTGGATGAATGAATTTGAGACCGGAAGATCGGCTTGTTGAAGCCGCCCTGTTTTATATTATAGATATTTATAATATACAACAGGACGGCTTCAATATGCCTATCTTACGGTCTAAAATTCATTCATCCAACGGCCACCAAAATCTATCTCAAAATCATTAATATTGAATTTTACCATCATCTTCTCACTCTTCATTCTCTCTCTCTAGCGGTGGCAGAGGAGCAGCGGTCTGGGGGCATCCTGAAAAAATTTATTTATTTTTAGTTATATAAGTTTTATATATTATTTTTGGATTAATTGAGCCCACTGCAATGATTTATGAAAAACAATATTAATTAAGTCAAACAAGTTGGGTACTATAACAAAAAAACAAAAAAGAGAAAGTTCATACTTATCTCTTAAAATTAACAAACTAAAATTGATTATTTAGAGTATTAGTATGATTTGTTGAAACCTCATTTGGTTCAAAAAATATGAAATACATAGCCAAATGAGTAAAATATGGAATTTGTAATTAAAAAATATTATAGAATATTAATTTTATTTCTGTCAAATCTATATCTATAATAAAAAATAGGGCGGCTTTTACAAGTCCATCCTACAGTTTCAAATTCATTTATTCAACGGTCAAGAAATTACCATTTTTTCTTTAATAGTTCCCCTCCCAACTAGTCAACGATTATGACTAATCTTAGAACACATCTTACGGTCTCAAATTTATTCATTCAACGGTCAAGAAATTAACATTTTTTCCTTAATATTTTCCCTCCCAACCAGTCAAAGATTACGGCTGACTTGAATCACAAGATTTTCTCTAACATAATAATTAAATAGTTTAAATTTGCTATTAATATCAACTGTGCAGTGTAACATTTTAAATTTATATAAGAGACAATGATAATATTTTGATTAAAAAAAAACTCATCAATTTAACATTAAAAAAAAAAAAAACTAGGGCGCTGCTTAACACATTTATATTAAATATAATTAATTTTAATTTTATTTATTTAATTAACTATCTCAAACTAACTTGCCTTACACATGTCTTGAATCAAAAGTTCAAGACTATTTTTTTTATCTCTTAAAAAAAACCCAACGCTAATATATTCTTATAAATTAATAATTTTGTAATAACTTGTACTAATTAAAAAAAAGAATATTTTATAAAGAATATTTGAAGATCTTTTTTTTGATAGAAAATATTTTATCGATATGCTTTTTGATAAATTAGATTTTTAGTTTGTATTAAATTTGATTTGATTTTGATTATATGTATATAAATTTATATTCGATTTTGATTATATGTATATAAATTAATATTTTTTAAAGTTAATTATGTTATATTTTGTTGATTCTGTAATATAAAATAGGGCAGGTTCAACAAGTCTATCCGATAATTTCAAATAAACTCATCTAACAACGACCAACATATCTCTCAATACCATTTATATTGAATTTTATCTTCCTCTTTTCACTTTTTACTCTCTTTCTCTAGCAATGGCGGAGGGAGGTGGGATATGGGACCACCCTGAATTTTTTTTTTTTAATTATATATGTTTAATAAATTTTTTTAGATTATTTGGGTCAACTGTAATGATATATAAAAAACAAAATTAATTAGATCAAACAAGTTGGGTACTACAACAAAAAAACAAAAACAAAAAGTTCATACCAATTTTCTTAAAATTAACAAAATAAAATTGATTACTTAGAGTATTGGTATGATTTGTTGAAGTCTCTTTTGGTTCCAAAATTATAGAATATATAGTCAAAAATAAGTAAAATATATAATTTATAAAAACATTAAAAATTATAGAATATTACTTTTATTTGTATTAAATAAATTATATTATTGATCCTTAATGTATAAATGTTATCTTATTAATTTCTTTCAAATAAACTTTTTTTATGTTTAATAAATTTTTAAGTATCAAATCTAATATAAAAAATATAAATATATGACACTATTTTTATCTATTATACTTAAAGTGTGTCTACCCTAAATCATATATTTAACTTTGTCACTATTCTTAGGGATCTTCACTTTTTTAAATTAATTAATTAATTTATATTACACTGTCCTTTCAGACCCGGATTACCCTAATATTCAATAAAAACAAGTCGAAAAGGATTGACAATTCGTTAATTTCTTTATGATATTTCTGAGGACACCTTCTATGACTTTTCTCAAGATGCCTTCTATGCGGTATAAAGTGGTGCACTTTGTCGGTGGTGTAAATGCATTTTTGGGGATTGAAAAAAGTGAAGGGTGTGGACAGCATTTCCTTCTCATTTTAACTTTCTTATAGTTTTTTTTTTATTTATTTGTTTCTAAAGTGGGTTTCCCCACTGTAAATTGTAAACGCCTCTCAATGGTAAGACTTTTATGTCCCACTCTTGATTTTTAATTAGTACCCCAATATTTATTGGGCTTTTTTTTTTAAAAAAAAGTATTAAGATGAGCATTACTCTCTTTTTATTTCTCTTTCACACTACACGCTAAATAAATCATTTCTCATTCATTGTATCTTGATCACTTTAATAGATAACGAAATTGACGATAAATGCACGTGTGAATAATCTGTACTATCAATAAATAACTGTTTATTATACATATACAAGTCAAAAATTAAGAAAAATACTTATCCATAACTTTGTCTTTTATAAGCTCTAAATTATCTTCCTCTTGCCGACATATTTTTTCTTCCCAACAATCATTTGATTGTAAAAAATGTAAAATAAAGTGCTACTAGACACTTAACCAAAAGTTTTTCGGGATTTTCCTCTATTATTTGACAAATTTTTAAATTTGTCGTTATCTATTGAAGTGACATGAAATAAAATTAATAATTTAGGGTATAATATAAAAAATTTTATAATTAAGAATACAAAATAAAATAAGAATAATAATTTAGGGTCATGTTTATTTGAGGGATTAAATGGTATTATAGGATGAGATAGAAGAAAATAGTACATGAGGCCTACCTATTACATTGTTTGTTTGGTATTTTACATGCAATACTATTTTTCAGATTGTAATATCGATCTGGTTTGCATAGTGTCCGTTAAATCTTGTACATGGTATTAATGAATACCACTTACCTGGTGGTATTATCTTCATGGTATAAGTGAAAGGACGGTATAAAAAAAAAATAACACAAATGTCCTCATCTGTGAAGAGTTCACACATAAAAAAATTTATTTTGAATTTTTTCCTTATATTGTGTTTAAGCGTACGATGTAATCGTTTTTTTTATTTTTTTTAAAATTATTTTGCATTTTTTTTTGTATTATGTTTATTGGTACGGTGTCACCATTTTTTTAATTTTTATTTAAAAAAAATTATTTTGAATTTTGTCCTTATATCATGTTTAAGTGTACGATATTAGCGATTTTTTTTTAAAATTATTTTGAATTTTTTTCTTATATTATGTTTAAGTGTACGGTGTCACCGATTTTTTTTTATTGTATAACCAATTTATAGCATCAGATTCTTTATTTTTTATGTGAATTTTTTACGAAATTTTTTAGATATAAATTGTCATATCATGTATTATACCAAATATTATGCATTATACCAAATATTATGCAAAAATATTACATAAACGGAGTAGTGGAATTGATAATATTAAGAACAAAATAATATATTTTTATATAAGATGTAATGAAATAGATGATTGTTTGTGGAACTCATTATAATATCTATTGAACAAATAAATATGAGAGAAAATTAAAATATTTTTTATTATCGATACTAATTTCTATTGATATTAAAAATATAAAGAATATATTTTCGATATCACCCATAATCAATCCAATCATTCATGCCCATAATAAAGTATAATTTACTCGTAAGAGTTTTATCTTCTATTCTTGATTTTTACTTCATATCCCGTATTTATCAAGTTTTCTTAAAAAAAGTAAAGTAAATATCAAGATCAGCAACCACTCATTTCACAAGCCAGATGAACCACTCATTTCACTGCATCTTGATAACACACACTCTCTCTCTGTCTCTTCACTGCCTCTTGATCACCCTCTCTCTCTCTCTGAAGTTAATCTTCAATGGCTATTCAAGGTGTAGCGGCTGATCTTGTCAAAGAAATATTGAATAAGATAGTTTCTGTTGCAGCTGAAGAGATCGGACTTGTGTGGGGCTTCAAGGGAGAACTGGCTAAGCTCAAAGACACAGTTAAAATGAATCAAGCCTTTTTAGCTGATGCCGAAAGACGAGGGGTTAACGATGAGTCCGTCGAGCTATGGCTGGAGATGCTTAAGGATGAAGCTTATCGAGCCGATGATGTCTTGGATGAGTTCGCTTACGAAATCGGGCGGCGAAAAGTGGAGATTCGAGATCAAATGAGGAGAAAGGTACGCTCCTTCCTTTCAAGTTCTAACCCAGTCTTGTTTCGCTCTCGAATGGCTCATAAAATCAAGAAAATCAACACATACTTGGTTAAGATCAACGAAGAAGCAAAGGTTTTGGGACTTCGACTGGGTTTACTAGCAGCCCCTTCTCAAGTCACTGTCGATCACCAAGGGACCGACTCCCTGCTTCACCAAGGGGTTTCACAGGTGGCTACCCCCCAAGTCTTTGCTGGCCGAGAGACCAACTCACTTCTTCACCAATCTGAAGTTGTTGTAGCAAGGGATGGTGATGCATCAAATATAGTTCAAATGTTAACCAGCCCGGAAAATCAGGATGTTGTCTCTGTGCTTCCCATTGTGGGAATGGCTGGGCTTGGAAAAACAACTTTGGCTAAGTTGGTCTATAATGGCGATGAGATAACGAGACACTTCGGTTCAAGAATTTGGGTATGTGTATCTGAGAATTTTGATGTCAAAAGGCTTTTAAAAGAGATCCTTGAAACTCTGACAGAGGAGAAGTGTTATGCAGAGACTGAAGATGTAATTCTTAAAAAACTTCGGAAAAAGTTGGAAGGACAAAAATATTTGCTCGTTCTTGATGATGTATGGAATGAAGATCATAACAAGTGGAATGATTTTAAGTCTTGTATGTTACGAGTTAGTACAACCCATGGAAACAACATTCTAATCATTACGCGTAGTCATAAAGTGGCCTCAATTGTGGAGACGCTCCCCAAGTATTGTGTGGAACCACTATCATCAGAAGATTGTTGGTCCATATTCAAAGGAGTAGCGTTTGCAAATGGAGGAGCTCCAATTAATTCAGATTTAGAAGACATTGGAAGAAAAATTGCAGAAAAATGTGAAGGTGTACCACTGGCAGCAAAGATAGCGGGGAGTATGATGCACTTGAAGAAGGACAAAGATGAATGGTTGGCAATTTTAAATGATGGAGTGTGGAGTGCAGTTGGAGATGCAAATGGTGTACTTCCTATTATTAAGTTGAGTTTTGATCATTTATCATCGCCATCACTGAAACATTGTTTTGCATATTGTTCACTTTTCAGAAAAGATTCCCACATGGAAAAGGAACAATTAATCCAACTATGGATGGCACAAGAATATCTCCAACCCAAGGAAGGAAGTAGCAAGGAAATGGAAGATATTGGCAATGAATATTTTGAATCTTTGTTGCAAAGTTCCTTATTTCAAGATATTGTGAAGGATGGCTATGACAACATTACACATTGTAAGATGCATGATTTGGTGCATGATCTTTCACAATTGATTTCGAAACCCGATTGCTTTACTCAAGAGGATGATAAGGGAAAAGAGAATCCCCGTGTTCGACATTTAGCACTATATTCCAGGAGGGAAAGTGTTGGTAATATCCAAAATGAAAGTGCTGAAAGACTGCGTACTTTATTTTTGAAAAGCTTTTTACTTGACAGATTTTTGAAGTTAAGATATTTGCGTGTCTTGAATTTATGTGATGCTTATGTTAATGAGTTGCCGTCTTCAATAAGCAAATTGGTACACTTAAGGTACCTTGACTTGTCAGATAGTGGCATTGATAGTTTACCAAAATCCATTGTTAAACTTTACCATCTGCAGACGTTGAGACTCAGTGGATGGGTCACAATTCAAAAGTTTCCTAAGAAATTCAAAAATTTGACCAGCTTAAGACATATCTATTTTGATAAATGGGATAACATGGTTCAGCTGCCACACGAGATAAGGTGGTTAACTTCCCTTCAAACTCTACCATTCTTCATAGTGGGTAAAGACAAGGGTTTCCAAATTGAAGAGTTGGGATATTTAAAAAATCTCAGAGGTAAGCTTGATATATATGATCTCCAGGAAGTGGGCAGTAAAGAGGAAGCACAAAAAGCAGATTTATGTGGAAAGAAAAATATATACAAGCTGACACTCAACTGGAAATCTGTGCGGAATGGTAATCAGAATGCTGAGGGTGTCTTGGATGGCCTCCAACCTTCCCCAAGCTTAAAAGGCTTAGACATAAACGGATTCCCGGGTGATAACTTCCCGCTATGGATGATGAAGATGGCTGTGACTACTAATGGTGAAGACGTCTGGTTATCACTCAACAATTTGGTGACGGTCAGACTAAAAGGCTGCAGAAGATGTGAGCTCATTCCAATGCTCGGCAGACTACCACTTCTTCGAGATCTTGAGATGGATGAAATGGATAATGTAAAATGCCTAGGTGAGTCATTCTATGGTTATGATTGTCATGGATCAGGCACTAGCCACATTAGTAACGAGACAGAGGTATTATTTCCTTCTTTGAGCAGATTCACAATGCGGAAAATGGCCAACCTAGAAGAATGGATAGAATTACCAGAAGGAAGTGGGGTGCAAGCGTTTCCTTGCCTTTATGAGTTGTCCATTGAGGGGTGCCCACAATTGAAAAGTGCTCCGAGTCATTTCCCACTCCTTAAGGAATTGCGTTATGAGAATGTATATAATTTCCAGTTGAAAAGCGCTCCGACGAAGCTCGAGATTGACGGGTTGGATGACCTCACTTCTTTACGGGATCAACCATTCCAGGACTATAAATATCTGGAGGTTCTAGAGATATCGAATTGTCCCAAGTTAACACAAGTTCCGTACTTGCGAGGATACGACACCACCTCTTGTCTTCGATCGCTAGAAATCAAGGATTGCGAGCAATTGAGCAATTTGCCAGATGGCCTCAACACACATCCATCTCTTGAGATTTTGAATGTCAATTGGTGTCCAAATCTCAACTCCATTCCGAGTATTCAAGGCCTTACATCCCTTTGTGAATTAAGTCTTAGGTGGTGTAATGGGTTAACTTGTCTTCCAAGTGGGCTAGAATCTTGCACATCCCTCAACACCTTAGAGGTTGAACATTGCACCAATCTAACCTCATTCCCAAATATACAAGCATTGTGTTCTCTCTCCACTCTAACAATTGTATATTGTGAGAAATTAACATGCTTGCCTAAGGGGCTACAATTTCTTACCTGCTTGGTCCACTTGATGATTGGCCCCTTTTCTGAAGAGCTTGATTCATTCCCGAGTCTTGATGGTGTCCAACACTTGCATGCATCCCTTAGTACTGTAACCTTGTATGGGCAGCCTCACTGGGACCTTATCCCAGAACAACTTCAACACCTCTGTGCCCTGAGAGATCTGTGTCTAATAAGCTTTGGAATGGAAGCTTTACCCGATTGGTTTGGTAAGCTTTCATCTCTTGAAGAACTACATGTAAGAAAATGCAAGAAACTGAAGTATCTGCCCAAAATTGAAGTCATGCAGCGCCTCACCAAATTATGGACTTTGCGCCTAGGGGAATGTCCCCTATTAGAAGAAAGATGCGAAAGGGGTGGCCCAGAGTGTCCCAAGGTGTTCAATTTAAGGTAAGTTTCTCCTTAAGACTAATCTTTTTCCATTTTTATTGTTTACATTTTTCTCATCCTATTGTCGGTATTGTCCCATTTGGTATACTAGGAAACAAATTTAACTAATATTATTTTTTAAAAAAAATATTAATTATATGTGTAATTAAATTAAATAATAAATTAAGTGCCAAATTTTTAATTTGTATTTTAATTATTACTAAATTAATTATTGACTTATTCTATAAATTTTTGATTACTTAATCTATTATTTATTTAGTTATCTCTTTGACTCCTTTAGACATTTGCACATCTAATTATATTATAGAATTATTAAATTTTATTTTGTTAAATAGATTGATTGGATCACTTATAATATTATTATTATATTATTGCATACCAAAAAATAAAATATAATATACATTTGATCGTGAAATTCAACTTAGTAACATGTGTATAATGGTTTAACAAATATAGGACTTTACATCTTCATATAGATATAGATTATTGTATGCAACTATACTACTAATAAATGAATTCAAAATAATTTAGAAATCTTTATAAAAGAGTCCAAAACAAGCTGAAAGTTAAATAAGTGTAAAAAATAAAAATTAGATGAAATTAGGTAGGTAGGTATAATTGATTTTATTATAATAATTAGGGATGAAATAAGAAATCTGAAGTTTTTCACAAATACTAACATTTTTAAGTCTTGTTATTTGACTGTTGACATTGAAAATGAAAGAAATTAGATTAGAAAAATGTACAAAATTTGCATCCCAAAATGCACGCATGTAGGCAGGTGCTTTGTTGTCAAGGGAATTGATGCTTTGTATGGACATGTGCCTAACTATGCATAAGATCGTGTGTCTTAGGCCATGCACTCACAAAATGTGACAATGATGTGGTGTAATAGTATTGTTGTAACTGTATTTCTTATACTTGTTTATTAGAACTCTCTCACTTGACAAGATCAATTTTTTAGGTCCCATTAACATTACTCCGAAAGAAAACATTTGTGTTGGTGTTTGGGGAAGACTTCATGTGAGTCTCATAGTTATACACGTAGACAAAGAAAAAAAAGGAGGGGGGTCTCCTCGTGTATAAACTAACAATCAGAGAGGCAATTAAAATATCCTCTCATATTTTCGGGTGAATTATATTTTGTACCATGAAAATTTTAAAATTTACTTTATACATTCAAAGATTAAATTATTCCATTATATGCTCAATGTATTAAAAGTGTTGTAGTGTGACACTTCTGTTAGTTTCCATTACTCATTCTATCATCATCAATAAAATGAATTTTGACGGAATAAGTAACAGAAACTAATGAAAGGGCCACACTGTAATATTTTTACATTGAATGTGTAATGTGAAAAATCTTATTTTTGAGGGTATAAAGTGGGAAAGCTTAAATTTTTTGGGGTGCAAAGTGAAATTGTCCCCTATTGTATCCTCTTAATAAGGAGAGTGAATGAGACTTTGCACGTTAAAAAATATCATATTACATGAATTGATTAAAAGATAGCACTATAGTCCAAAAGTAAATGTTTGTGGCCTTCTCTTCAATTCTTTTTTTTTTTTTTTGTATTTATTTTATTATCTTATTTCTATATACAATTTTTTACATAATACTCAATTTTAAGTGTTTTCAATAGAATTTTGATACTCAATTCTCCTGAAACAGAGTACATTGTTACCTTATGTTTGATTGAAGGTGCATAGTGAGACTTTTTATCTTTCAGGGTCTCTTATGGAGGTTTTTGGTGGTACTAGGAGTGAAGGAAGAATGCTAATAACTTGAGCTAAAGAAGAAAATTTCCATTCATGACGCTCAATTCGAGGTAGGGAATATAATATCTTGGTTCTCCTGTAAATTCATATAATTGGGTGATTGCACGTGTTTGATTCTTGATCATAGTGATTATATGTACTTGTCCTTGGTTAAACGATTGTTATGACCCAAGTATGTGAAATTGAGAACTGAGAGTCTCGTTATGAAAGTTTTAAGTGATAACCGTGTCTGTTCATGGATTTTTATAATAATATATGCTTGAAAAATGATTTGTGAAAGCCTCTGTTAGTGTACAGAATTTTCAGCTTTTGCAATGAATTTTGTGGAATTTGTTCAACAAATTTCACGGCATTTGATCCCCACAAAATTTTTATAGTGATTTTAAATAAGATTTTGGCCTCATTATTGAAGTTTTAGTGCCCAATATATCTACTGTAATTGGGTCTATGTTGTATACTGTAGGCTCTCAAATTGCACAATGGTGGAAAATTTAAATTGATGTTTGAGTAGTCATTCCATCTAATTATGAATTTTTGTTTGAAGTTGTGAAAGCATCTTCTTGAAATATATCCTTGAAAGTGTACTTTCATTTTAATTTTGTGACATAGAGTAAGAATTTGAGATTTGTTGTGAAATAGATAGAGAAATACCAATACACCTAAGTGGGATATTTTTTGTTGGACAAACAGAATTTAGGGGCAGATTTACATTACAAATTGTTGAGATCATACCATAACGTTGTGTTTGGTTTGTGGTATTAGACTAAGGGAATGAAATTAGTATTACTTGGTAATGAGCATTCCTTTGTTTGGTTTGTGGTAATCAAAATTCATTCCCATTCCCTTTCATTCCAAAGGAATAACTAATCCAGCAAAATATGGGATTACCCATTACCAATTAAAACATGTTATTTCACATTCCCAATCACTTAGTAATGAAGCCAAATTTATAACCACTAAACCCGACTCCTCCCGATCCCAATCTCGTCGACTTGCACCTCCCTCCCCAAATCTCTCTTCTCTCGTCCACTCCTCTGCGCACCTCTCAACTCTTCTCTACTGAGCCCATGTCATTCGACCCTTTTTTTCATCCGGCAACACCGGCGGCAACCGACGGTGTTTCCATGACGGCAAATCAGCCGTCTTACGCAGCCGAGGCCCACTGAACGACTCAACAGAATCAGTCAAACTGCTAAGAGTGGTCCTCTGTTCTATAATTTGGTGCTCCTGAGGTTACAACCGCTGATTGACAAAGCGATCGTTAGGGTTCTGATGAAATGGATAGTAGGGATTTGAAGGAGTGGTTGTTGGAAAGTTGATCTTGGCCTTGGGTCCCCGAAGTGAAAGAGCAGCGGCGTCGTAGGCTCTGTTGGGTGTCCCTTCTTATGCCTTCTGATTGGGACACAACTCAAATTAAAAGATATGTGCTTGTGTGCATTGGAACTATGCTTTGGAAGGGTCCAGTACAAGCCAAGAATAGAAGACCTTTTGTCTTCCAAGTGATCTGATCAGTTTTTTCACTTTTTGAGTGAAAAAATCTGTAGAAAAACTATTGAGAGGGACAACTTCTTTGTGAGAGAAAAAGTGGAAGATAGCAGCCCACTTCTTGCCCTTATTCAAGACTCATTTCTACTCCGATCAAGCTGAAATTTCAGGGACATATTCCTCTCTTCTACAGCTGGTTTCTACTGATTCGGGTCGTCAATCGGATTCTTCTACAGCTTATTTTCAATGACAGAAGTTCAGCCACTTCGGTGAGATCTTTCTTGTTGCTTTGTATTGAAATCCACCTAAGGGCGAAGTTTTTATGTTTGGGAGCCAAGGAGATATTTTTCTCTTGATGTTTGACATCTTTAGTTGTAATTAGAAGACTTGTAATCCTACTTTCATTGATAGTGGAGAAATTGGACCAAGTTTGGTCTCGTGGTTTTTCCCTTCGCCTTGAAGGGTTTCCACGTTGTGTCTCTTGTTGTTGGTTTGGTTTGTTTTTTGTGCTTGTTTGGTTTGTTTTTGGTTATTCTCTATTGATTTGCACATAGAGGGAAAGTCACTAGTTTTCCCAACAAGTGGTATCAGAGTACGGGTTGCCTTCGGTTTATTTCGTGTGTAAATCATGGAAGGTAATGTGGGGCATATGGTTAGCTTCAATGGAATCAATTGGGTGACATGGAAGACTAAAATGAAAGACCTCTTGTATTGTAAAGATCTTTATGGACCCATAGAAGGTGAAAAAGGCCGACCTCTTGGTATGTTAAATGGTGAGTGGACCAAGCTTAATCGAAAGGTCGTCGGGTTTATTCGTCAATGGATTGATCATAGTGTTTTCCACCATGTCTCTACCAAAGATTCAACACACTTTCTTTGGCAAAAATTAGAGTCTTTATGAGAGGAAAACGGTCGTTAACAAGGCGTTTTTGTTTCGAAAGCTTGTTAATCTAAAGTATAAAGAGAGCAGCTCCATTGTGGAACATTTGAATGAATTGAAAAGTATTGTAAATCAACTTTCCTCCATGAAGATTCTTTTTGATGATGAGTTGCAAGCTTTGTTGCTTCTTAGTTCCTTGCCGAAAAATTGGGAGACCTTGGTAGTAACGGTTAGTAACTCCGCCCCCGATGGAATTGTCACTATGAGTCAAGTGACTAGTAGCTTGCTAAATGAAGAGACAAGAAGGAAGTCATCCGGTTCTTCTCATTCCGAGGCACTTGTCATGGAGAAACGGGGGAGAAGTAAAAGTAGAACACCTCACAACCATGATAGATCACGAGGAGCTTCAAGCTCAAGGAAAAATATAGTGTCATTATTGCCATAAGAAAGGACACATAAAGAGAGAGTGTAGAAAACTCAAGAGGGATCAAAAGAAAGAAAAAGGTGATGAAAAGAAGCAAGAAGACATTACCGCAGTCACTTCTAATGGTGACATCATTGTTGTGTGCGATGACGGTTATGTTAATCTCATGTGTAAAGAGAGTAGTTGGGTGATTGATTCCAGTGCTTCATTTCATGGGCTGATTTCTTCACATCTTACACTCAAGGAGATTTTGGATTTGTTCGAATGGGAAATGAGGGGTTATCTAAAATCATGGGTGTTGGAAATATTTGCTTGGAGACAAATGTTGGTTGCAAGTTGTTGCTTAAAGATGTGAGGCATGTCCCAGACATTCGGCTTAATTTGATCTCCACGGGGAAGCTTGATGATGAGGGCTACAACAACCACTTCGGTGATGGAAAATGGAAGCTTTCTAAATGTTCTTTGGTTGTGGCTAAAGGGAAGAAAAATTTTACTCTTTACTCAATGGAAGCAAAAATCAGCAAGAGTGAAGTTAATGCACTTGAGAATGATTCCTCCACTGAGCTATGGCATAAACTGTTCGGGCATATGAGTGAAAAAGGGATTGCAAATTCTGTCCAAGAAGCAGCTCCTACCGGAAATGAAAGGTACACCTCTCAAAAACATGTGTTCATTGTTTGGCCGGCAAACAACATCGAGTTATTTTTCGTAGGAACTTTGCATCTAGAAAGACCAATGTTTTGGATTTGATATATTCAGATGTGTGTGGTCCTATGAAAGTTAGAACACTTGGTGGTGCACTCTACTTTGTTACCTTTATTGAAGAGCAAAGATCAAGTGCTAGAAGTGTTTAAACATTTTCATGTCAGGGTGGAAAGAGAAACGGGGAGGAAATTGAAATGCATTCACACAAATAATGGTGGTGAGTACCTAGGACCATTTGATGTTTATTGTGATACTCATGGGATTAGACATGAGAGGACGGTTCGCAAGACTCCTCAACAAAATGGAGTTGCCGAGAGGATGAATCGCACTATTGTTGAAAGGCTTAGGTGTATGGTTTCACATTCTAAGCTACCTAGATCCTTTTGGGGTGAAGCAATGCGGACAACAATTGAAGTAATCTTTCTCCTTCGGTTCCTCTACATGGTGAAGTGCCTGAAAAAGTTTGGAAAGGTAAAGACATTTCATATGCTCACTTGAAAGTTTTTGGTTGTAGGGCATTCATTCACATACCCAAAGATGAGAGGTCTAAACTTGATTCTAAGGCAAAGCAATACATATTTCTTGGATATGCACATGAGGAATTTGGGTATAGATTGTGGGATCCGGCCGACAAGAAACTTGTTAGAAGTAGGGATGTTGTCTTTCTTGAAGATCAAACAATTGAAGACTTGGAAAAGGTTGAATAGCCCGGGACTTATATTGATGATCTTATTGACTTGGATCCGATTCCTTCTCCTATTGTGAATGATGAAAATGGGGAAGAGATGCAGCCACTTCATGATGATGAAGTAGATGGTGGGATTCCAAATGATGTTGAGCTAGAAAATGAGGGGGAGCTTCCAACTCAAGAGCCACCACCACAACCCGAGTTAAGAAGATCTACAAGAGAGCGACAATGATCCAAAAGGTATAATTTAAATGAGTATGTGATGCTATTCGATGGGGGAGAGCCTGAGACTTATCAAGAAGCTTTAAAGCATGAGCACAAAGATAAATGGTTCAAAGCTATACAAGAAGAGATGAATTATTTGCTTGAGAATCACACATATGAGTTAGTGAAGCTTCCTAAAGGAAAGAAAGTGCTGAAAAATAAATGGGTATTCCGATTGAAGAATGATGAGAAGAGCTCTAAACCAAAGTACAAAGCATGGCTTGTTGTCAAAGGCTTTGAGCAAAAAAAGGGAGTGGACTTTGATGAGATTTTCTCACCCGTGGTGAAGATGTCATCCATTAGAGTTGTTTTCGGCATGGTTGCAAGTATGGACTTGGAAATTGAGCAACATGATGTGAAGACCGCCTTAGATGAGGAAATCTACATGGAGCAGCCCGAAGGTTTTAAAACCAAAGGGAATGAGCATTTAGTTTACAAGTTAAAGAAGAGTTTGTATGGATTGAAGCAAGCGCCGAGGCAATGGTACAAAAAATTTGATTATTTCATGATGGATCATGGGTATTCCAGAATCAATT